AAAGGGTTTTAGAATAACCTGTGAGATATCGCAAATACGAAGATGTAATGAGCGATACTTCTGCAGAAGTGGGAAAGCGTCGAGTTTAGTGAACTGTGGTGCAACGGCGGCTGAGAATCGCCTTGCCGAACGGGTCAACTGCGCAGTTATGGACTGCTTGCGTGCACCACTGGAATGAACGCCAGCTGAGAGGTTTTTTGGAGAGCGGGATTTATTCCAATCCATCTGAAGTTTTAAACTGGAACATTAACGAGGTGCATATTGCAGAATAGTCGCCATAACTCGCACGCAACTGCAGTAAGCAGTATTCATCCGAATCAGTCAACGAGCCGTCGACAATTCTCACTGTTCATCTTCAAATTATATTAGCACTGGTGCCGTTTCTCGAGATTATCTCTTTCGAGGAATTAATTCGTTCGTAATGGCAGACAAGGGAACGCGAAGATGAATTATAGTAATTTCCTGAATTGAAATTAAAAATCGCAGCAGTCGAATGCGCTTGACAAAAACCATTATCACGCATTTCAACGCTATCGCTGGGCACGAATTCTTCATCGTGTTTTACTATGGTCGGCTGGCTATACACACATCGAGGCGTCTTTGAAACTGGAAAAGAGAGACCGTTCTCGAAGCGAAACATGAGTGAATAACAAAATGAAGTGATTCGGCATTTCGTAATTCCAAAAGTTGACCATTTCCACCGTTCCAAAGTGCTGTACTAACCAACAAAACAATCACCACAAACCACAAACCACAATAGATTCATAAGGAGCTTAACATTTCGCATGTTGATCAGTGCAGCTCTAGCATTATAACAGCTGACACTGAATAATTATAATTGATGGTTTTTTTGGTGTTAGTTCAAAACGGACAAAAGTAACTGACAAGTGATTCAAGTGACATCAAATATGATTCATGTTCAACGAGGCGCGATCAAGGAAATGAGAATGACTCATTCTTGTCATTTTGCTTTGCAGTTCGAGCTGTTCAGGTATTCAGGCATTTTGAGTGCCCTTAGGCAATCCATTATGTCAGTTGACTTGCTTTTATTTACGCGTTTCGCCGTTTCTGTTAAGGCCACATAAGTGAAGATCAACACACGGTAGGATTCCTCGCACCAATGCTGTCCGAGGTCACCTCGTCGCTGAAATAGCCGTGTTCAGTACTGGAACGTGCCAATCTGTACAGATCATAGTGTTTCTCACAGGGTGTAGGTTACCTCGCGGGGTAATTTGGAGATGTCAGGGGTAACTAAGGATATGAATGAATTTGCAGTTAAATTTCACTTTTTTCACCTCTATCGAATGTTTTTTATTGCTTTTCGTTGTTAATTGCTGGGGTTCATATTCTTTCTTCAGATGATAAGTAAAGTTCTAGAAATAAAGTTTCATTCCACAAAATTAATTCGTTTCACGCCACGGAGAACTTTCTGCAGTGGCTTTCGATTTGGTCTTAATGTTATGTTTGGAAATAGGAAATTGCTGTGGTGGGAATGGGGAGGAATGATGTTCTATTAGATCATCAAAGGGGGCAATGCAGCTTGCAAGTACGAAGAACGCTGGCATAGGTGAATGATGGTCTGCAAAGTACGCTGTTCTGTGATTCAGTAAAGGGCGAATATGTTACGGTTTGAATAACAGCGAGTTTATTTACACCTGCAAGTACTGAAATGCTAATGAATACCGATCCAACAGATTCTGACAGTGTGAGCCGCAGCTGATCTTCAACTGACATCGATGGGTGCTTCTAAAGTGCGTGTAAGCGCGACTTTCTACTGCTAGAGAACTTACGCTATAAAATGAGGATGAAAGAAAGGAGTAAATGCTCACAGGAAAATAATCATAGATCAGTTTAGAAAACTTAATATGAGCGATATAAAACGACGAATAACTCGTTAACGAGAGAGGCAGCGAGAGAGAGCGCGAGAGTGAGAGCAAAATTGTCATATAAAGTGGCTTAGGAATTTCTTCGAATCACATAATTCAATGATTAATAAAGATTTGAAAACGGCTCGAAACAGTTAACTTGAAGCAATCCATACAATTTGTGCTGTTTAACTGCTGGTTCATGCGCATTTATTACCATCANAACGTAATTATCAGCTTCTTTGAGTATGCCGTTAAAGCTCTACGATAATAGTATCCATGAATGAAAGAGTTGATCAAGGCATTATTTCACACACAAAAAACATCGTTGCTGATCAGTGTGCAAGGACGTTGTGCTGAGCTTGACGAGGAGAATAGCTATAGCCTATCCGCGTGCATAGTTAAAATATGGTTCCATACTTTATGACTGCTTCTTAGGTGCGGCGTTAAGACGAAATGAGCACAATAGAAAGATGGAAATTTGATGTGACGCAATCAAAATGTGAGCTTCATTGATTGTCTCTATCCCAACATTCAATTAATATTCAAATAAGCAGTATTGTTAGATGTGATAAAAAACGATTGACATACAACACAGCTCATCAATGTAATGTTCAGCTCATGCGACCAGCTGATATGAAAAGACGGAGGACTCGAGTTCTAATAAATCATATGCGAGTTAAATGCTCGTTAAACTGCGAAATATTCATCGCAGCGTTGGAATTTTTTCCGCTTACAGTTGTTGAAAACTGATTTTAGCGTTGTACTTNACCGATTATTTCAATGCGTTCATACAAAATAATACAGATATCGTGTGAAATTGACCATAGCTTACTATTGTTATCTTATGCATTTCTATGATTCCACTGTCACATAAATGATAATAATTCCTGAGCTGCTGAATTCCCTTATACGGGATTCACTTTCTTCACTCAACAATCTCTTCATTTTCATTTGGACACTTCAATTTCATGATGTATTTTCAAGCATTTCACTGCAGATAGAGATTATATGCAGCGAAAGAACAAAACCTTTCGTAGGTACACTGCCAGTTTTCAGAAATGAACACAGAACAGAAAAACAGAACAGGCAGGACAGAAATCTTTCGCAGATAGATCGCCATTATAGGGCAACTGATTATGTTTGTGACAATTAGAAGTTAGCCATTTAAACTAGCTTAATTGCTTTGCAACAATACTCGCCAATTGCCAATTTCTCATCGAACATTTTCTGTAATTAGTTCCGTGCACTGGATATAACCGATGAGATGATTATTTTCGCACGAATATTTTACAGTAAACAAACAGGAGCAGATGCACCATTTGAAAGACATGAAGATATTCACCACGAATCAGAACACACCGAAGAATTAGAATGCGTTCGATTAGTACGGCAACATTTTCCGTCCATCAGTGACAAGATCTTCATGCATAATTTTCAAACATCTCCGCATAATATCAACAAAACTGCGCTAGAAAAGAGGGATACTGCAGTTGGAACTTGCATGATCCTCTAGTGGTATTCATCGATTGAACGGGTAAAGAATCACAAAAGCGAGTGTGTTTTCATGGAGCGTTTGAACGTGAGCGAACTGAAAGATCATTTCATGCCTAGTAGTAAGCTTATGTTTGATTTAATTAGGCGTGCACTGAATTATTTAGCCAATCGCCTGTGCGGTGCGCTGAAAATCAGTGCGGTTGAACAGAAACGCAAATGAAAAATGATTTCATTCGATGATTGATGTTAGTTTTTAATTCATTTGAATTGCTGAATAACTGAACAGA